TGTTGGTGGCAGTGCCCTTGTCAGCCACCGAGAACTCAGGGAGGGCTTCCTGGAGGAGGCAGTAATCAGCCTGAGTCCTTATGGATAAACACGGGTCAGCCAAGGAGAGAAGCGGGAGAGCAGGCGTGCAGGAGGGGAGAGCCACAGCACGGCATATTGAAGGAATGCAAAGAGGCAGAGAGTTGGGCAGTAGTGGGATTGAAGGGAAGGCAAAGATTAGAATGCCAAGTGGGTGGTCTAGATCCCTCTGGCCTCGGAGGACTTCATCTCAGAACACGGCAGCAACTGAAGGGATGACTGAATTTCCAGCTCTCGGCTTCAGGCTGCTGCTGCTGGAATTTGGAGATGGAAGCTAGCGTTCTCTCTCTCTCTCAGCCTTTCAAATGAAATAGAAACGAGGGCAGGCATTTGGTGCCACTGTTGAAACATGGCTCAGGACACCCGCACCCCACAGCCCACTGCCTGCTTTAAGTCCTGGCTACTGGCCTCCAGACGAGCTTCCTGTGATTCACACCCCAAGCAGCAGCAGTGGCTCAGGAGCTTTGGCCCCTGCCACGTGGGAGGTTAAGGTCGGATCTTGGGCTCCCGGCTTCGGCCTTGCTGAGGTCTGGCTGTTGCCAGTATTTGGGGCAAAGTCAGCAGATGGAGGATCTCTCTCTCTCTCTCTCTGTCTTCCAAATAAAATGAAAATACATTTCAAATTTTTGAATGAAAATGTTTTCAAACTACATAGCCTACCATATACTGTCTTTCAGCTATGCATAAAAATATCTGAAAATGGACTAGCTTTGTGGCACAGTGGGTTAAGCCATCAAGGGCAGCGCAGGCATCCCACAGGAGCACCAGTTTGAGTCCTGACTGCTCCACTTCTGAGCCAGCTCCCTCACAATATACCCGGGAAAGCAGCGAGGATGACCAAAGCGCTTGGTCCCCTGCCATCCATGTGGGGGACGTGGATGCAGTTCCCGGCTGCTGGCTTCAGCTGGGCCCTGCCCTGGCTTTTGTCACTATCTGAGGAGTGAACCAGCTGATGGAAGGTCTCTCTCTCTCTCTTTCTCCCCCCACTCCGCAACTGCTTTCCAAAAACTTTTTGTTTAAAGAAACTAAAGTGCATGAGGTGGAAAGCATTTCTAGAACTAACCTTCTCAGAGGCCACCTATCAAGTTTTCGTTTGGGGCTTTGTTGTTCTTCGTCATTTCTAACATATACACAAGCGTATGTGGCAAACATGAGATAATATGTTCTTTCCACTCAAGCATTTCTCACTTCAACGAACAGAGATGTCATCTTTGTCATCATCGGGCAGTTGGGCAACAATGGCCGTGACCATGGAGCAGTCAGGTGTGGCCGAGCAGGCTGGACCAGGAGGCCACAGCCTCGGGGAGGTGGCTGGGTAGAAGCCAAGATGCCAGAGTACTGGGAAAATGGGGTGGGGGGAAGAAAGGGGAAGGGCGGCAGAGCAGTCACTCGCAGAGCTCAGCTGAGATGCGCACACACACACACACACACTGTGTGCGAGGCTCAGCGTGTGCACACCAGAAAATAACAGCCGTGGCCCCTTGTGAGATAAGTTCCAGGCTTCGAGCAGCCGGTGCAGGTATTTGGGGAGTAAACCAGTGGACAGAAGAGATTTCTCTCTGTCTGTAAAACCTGCCTTTCAAATAAATCTTTAAAAAAAAAAAAAATGGGCCCAGCGTGGTGGCCTAGTGGCTAAAGGCCTCACCCGGCAGCTCCACTTCCCAGCCAGCTCCCTGCTTGTGGCCTGGGAAAGCAGTCGAGGACGGCCCAAAGCCTTGAACCTTGCACCTGCGTGGGAGACCTGGAGGAAGCTCCTGGCTCCTGGCTTTGGATTGGCTCAGCTCTGGCCATTGCAGCTACTTGCAGAATGAATTATTGATGGAAGATCTTCCTCTGTCTTTCCTCCTCTCTGTATATCTGACTTTCCAAAAAAACAATAAAACAAATCTTAAAAAAAAAAAATGGCAGCAGGCAGAGGCTGACACATAGTAAGAGAAGCTGTGACGGCTATTTAAGAGTGGGAGGAATATGTTGGTTATTCGGTGGTGCATTTTTTGACTCCACAATGCTGTAAATTTTCTGTTTTAACTTCATACCTGTTGTTGACTTTGTTTTGTGGCTTTTCATTTAAGGGAATGGAGCTTATACGTTAAGGGAATGTACAGTGTCGGCATAATAGAGACTATCACATCCAGATGTAAAGATACAATGCAGTAGGCATCCCTACTTCCAAATCTAAGATGGACTTCCCATGAAACTGTTGGGCATTTCTGGACAATGGGATGCTGGACTGTCTGACATTGTCTGTATCAGCAATGTCGGAGCACACCTAAATAACAGACTGATAGACTTATGACTGCTTATGAAGGACTATCCTACTGTAATAATATGGGGAAAATCAGTCAGGGGGAATTTGGAAAGGGGGTCGGGAAATCCCAGACCCTATGGAATTATACACAAAATTCAAAATTATTATAAAATTGCCTGGCCCGGTAGCCTAGCAGCAAAAGTCCTCATCTTGAGTGTGTCGAGATTCCCATATGAGTGCCAGTTCTAATCCCAATTGTTCTACTTCCCATCCAGCTGCCTGCTTGTGGCCTGGGAGGGCGGCTGAGAACAGCCCAAAGCCTTGGGATCCTGCACCCACGAGGGAGACCCAGAAGAAGCTCCTGGCTCCTGGCTCCAATCGGCTCAGCTCTGGCCATTATGGCCACTTGGGGAGTGAACCAGTGGATGGATGATCTTTATCTCTGTCTCTCCTCCTCTCTGTATATCTGATTTTACAAAAAATAATAATAATAATAAATAAATCTTTTAAAAATGCACTTTTCAAGTTGCCTAGTACAAGAAGGAATTATAAAACTTATCCTCCTTAGAAATATATTTCATAGCTTTCCAAAAAAAGAGAGAAGAGTGGAAGGAGTGAAGCAACACCTGCAGGACCTCTCTCTTCCCCTCTGCCCCATGCCTGTCTTACATCCTTTCAAATAAATAAATACTCCTTTAGCTGTCAGAGACATACAAATCTTGTGGTCACCCAGCACGTAAAACTGAAGTTGGACCAAGGTCAGAGAAGGAAGCGGGGGTTTAGGGTTTCCGAGGTGGCTGCAGGCCAGGGATGGCCACACTCGGGGTGATAGGGGACAGACAGGCACAACCTCCTGCCAGACAAAGGCAGGGGTGGGAAGCTGGGACCAGCACCAAAGCCCCCAGGAAAGCCAGGAAGAGGAGCAGGGACAAGGACGGACACCTCAACAAGGGAGACTCCAAGCTCTGGCTCCAGCCTGACCCATCCCTACACTGAGGCTTTCACACCCAAGATGTGTCCACAGACACAGAAAGTCAGGGCAGGAGGACAGTATGGGGGACTCAGAGTGTGTGGGACACCGCTACTGTGGATCTAGGTCAATAGCAGGGAGCACTTAGGGAGGGCTGTGGGAGCTGGGTTACACAGACTGAAGGATCCAGCCCCTTGTCTCCCGAACAGCCTTGACACTTGAGGGGAAATGTGGGGTGGGGCAGGTGTACAAGGCAGACAGCAATCTGCTCCTCAACTGAGAACACTTCCTTTCTGCTGGTCCAGAGCCTTCCCTTAGCCCAGCCCTCAAGCCCCAGAACTATGAATCATCCTCAGAAAACAGCGCTCTCTCAGCCACTGTGACTCCTCAGCAGCAGACTCCCACAGATGCTGTGCCTACCGTTGCCAGGCTTGCTGCCTGCCAACTCCCGTTCTCCCATCCCAGGCTCACCTGCTTGCTGCCTGCCCAGCTGCTGCGTGCAGGAGGTCCTGGGGAGCAACCCCCACTGCCTGCAGCGCCCCTCAACTCCCAGCGTCTCTCAGTCCCACTGTTTTCTCACACCCCCGTGGCATCCATTCTGGGCATCAAGTGCTCATCCTCCCGGATCTATTTCCTCGGTTTCCTAGCAAGGTGGGGATTGGAGGGCTTCCGGGAGGGGCCTGACGCAGGGCACAGCCAATCCGTATGTTCGGGTGGAAATGGGGCAAACGGATGTTCTCTCTCTTTAGGCTAAGCCAAAGTCGCGCGCACGCGCGCCTGCCCGTCAAGCCTGCCGAGTCCACTTCCTCCAGGAAACTCGGACTCCAAGCTGGCGGCCGAGGAAGGAAGTGCAGCCCCCAGAGGGAGAGGCAGTGGGCAGCGGGGTAGCCCGAGGGGATCCAGGGAGGCGCGCGGCCCGGCCCTGGAGAAGCGGAGGTGCGGGACACCTGGCCTCCGGGCATCACCTGGCACAGAGGGGGCAGCGAGCGGAAGGGTTAATAGGATCAGAGCCGGCGCTCCTTCCAGAGCTCCCAGACTTGCTGGGCCGTGACCTAGCTGGGGGGGGGGGGGGACTTTGCCCTCCAGCTCACCGCGCCCCGGAAGAGGCCTACCCAACGGCACGTGCGCGCCCCCCACTCCACTGGCTCGCCCAGCCCGGCCCCTTCCCAAGCCCTGCCCGGTGAGACAGGGAAGGCGGGACCCCGGTGGCCAAATCCTCTCCCAACGCAGACCGTCGCCTCCTTCCTGGCAACCCCTCCTTGCACCGGTGGGAAGAAGGTCCGCTAAGGCCTTGCCATCACAACTCCCCCACACAGACCCCTCGCTCCAGGAGAGCGTCGCGGCCGCCAGGACCGCCCCCGCACCCGAGCACCCTTTCCTCTGCAGCTGGGGGTCACCAGGGCCCGGTGCACCTGCAGCCACCGGACGAGGGACGGCACCCACAGAGGTGCAGCCGCACCTGCCAGCAGCCGCCCTCACCCCAGCAGGTCCCTTCCCCTCGCCGCCCCTGTCCCCCAACCCGGGCTTCAGCTCCGGATCCTGGTCTGACGTCACCTCGTGGGGGGACAGGAGGAGGGGGGCTTCGGAGCGCCCTTCCCCCGCCCGAGCAGGGAAGGTCACCCCAGCTCCGGTGGCGCGGGCGTCGCGGCGAGAAGCCTGCAGCCCCAGGCTCCCCGCTCGCACCCCCAAGATGCGGGCACTTACCCGCCGCGGCCGGCCGGCTGTGCGGAGAGGCCGCCGCGCTGCGCTGAGCTGCGAGGCGCGGAGAATGCGGCGCGGGACCGGCCGCGAGCCGCTCCGGGGCGGGGTGGAGCGGGAGCGCGCGTCCGCGGCTGGCTCCGGGGCGCGCACACGCGCGCGTCCTGCCGGGCGGCCTCTCTCGCGAGACTCCCACTGGATCCAGTGCCCGCACTCGCGAGAGCCTTGGCGCGGCCACCCCCGCAGCCCGGGACCGGGAGCTGTCCACGGTGCTGGTGCCCAGGCCCGGCCGGAGCCGCAGGACGAGCAGAGCCCATGGGAGGGCTGTCAGGGCGCAGCGATCGGAGCCCTGGGTGTGGGGCGCCCTGGCTGTGGGGCGCCCTGGGTGTGGGGCGCGCTGGCTGTGGGGCGCCGGGGACAATCACCTCCTAGGACGGGGGCCTCCTGCACTTGCCAGTAAAGTAAAAGGGGGGCAGGGTGGGAATTTGGAGCAGCAGCCTGCACCCCCCATTAGATTGCCGTGCGAGTTCTGCCTCTATTTCTGGCTTCAGCCTGCCCCATCCCTGGCCGTTGCAGGCATTTGGGCAGTCCTGGATGGAAGATTCTCTTTGCTTTTCAAAATGAAAGAGACCGAATTTTACAACCCCAGGACTTTGGAGGGGTGAGAGGTGCCCTCTTGCACACAGGAGGCTGGCAGTAGAAGGCAGACTTTGACCTTGAATGGCAGCCCCCGTGTGGGATCTCCACGGCAGGGCCACCCTGGGCACTGCCCCCACCCACACCAGCCCTCCATCTTGGCTTCAAAGGGACCTTCAGTGCGGTGGCAGACACTGTGGAGATTCTTTGCCCAAAACAAGGGCCCATTGTCCAGCTGCAGCCTGCCAGGAGAGGGGGCCTCCCTCCCACAGCTGGGGAAAAAGAAGGGGTGGGAAGAAAAAAAAAAAAAGAACTAGGGCTGGCTGGAGAAGAAAGGGAGGGAGCCACAGGGGCAGGAAAGGACTCAGTAGGCAGTAACAGCTGACCGCTAGGGCAGCCAAGAGAGGAGAGGCCTGGGCTACGGGCAGGACTGCTGCTGCTCCTACGTGCCTGGCTGCCCCACAGCAACGGGGCAAAGACACAGAGGAGGGACCGGAGAGGCGCCAAACGGGAGGCTGCAGAGGTTGGTGAAGCAAGGCCCCCTTTGGAAGGCGATATTGGGGAGTCCCTATGGGCCTTCAGGTCGGGGGTCTGAGGTCCATGCTGCCGCCTGCAGGAGAGCTATCTTGATTCCACACATGGGATTTACTGGAGACATCTTGGGGTTCGTGTGGGCCCTGCAGGGGAAGCGTCGGAGTAAACAACAAACAAGCATGGCCGTCCGCATTTAGCTAATGGAAGAGAACAACACTAAGGGTAGGGAAAATCCTACGCTTTTATTTGAGGTCTTTGCCGTCTGCCTAGCACGGGCCTAACTGTGGTTAGGAAATGAACTGAACCATGGATGCCTGTGCATGCCAGCAGTGGGATTGGAGCAGAGTCCTCACACCGCCAGTTTTCCACATGCACCAAGGGTTCCTGAACCCCTGTAACAGCCCGGACGGTGCCTAGCACACAGTCAGGCTTCCGTGAGGGCTCCCCGTTCCCATGTGCCAGGCGCTGGGCAGGGGTGGGCCAGCCTGTGCCCAACTGTGAATTCTGCATCTCAAGGGCCTTCTCAGATGCAGTGATCTTATATCAGCCATCAGGCAGAGCCTGCCCTGGGTAAAACCTAAAGCTTACAGGGGACAGACAGGCTCTCCCTGTAGTATACCAGGGAACATTGTCCCATGATAGTCCGGAATCCAGCCAATGGCCAACCTGGAAGGAGGCTGCTGGCCACCAGGCCTTTCCAAGGGAGGCATGCCCATGCAGGGGTCTCTGGGAAAACAGTGGGGTTTCCAGCCAGCACGGAACCTGTGAGTGCTAGGGTGAGATGTTACACTAGGGACAACCGGTCACATAAGTGGCAGTGTCCCATCCACCCCCAATTTTATACACCAGCCAAGTGAGGTTCCAGCTCACGGGCTCTGATCTGCCTAAGGAGTCAGAGCAGGTGCATCTGAGAAGTGGAAGAATCCTCCTGCCTCTCCCATTTGTCAGCCAGCTGTCCCCAGAGGTGACCTCTGAGAAGGAGACAGAGTACAGACATTCACTTTGGGAGAGGAGGCCAGGAAATACCCATACAAGAGCTGCGAAGGTGAAACAAAGAAGGAAGGAAAGTGGGACCAGCTCAGTGGCCAGGCAGACAAACCCTCTACCTTGCAGAGCCGACATCCCATCTGGGCACCAGTTCTAGTCCTACTGATTCAACTTCCTGATTATGGCTTGGGAAACAGCAGAGGATGACTCAAATTCCTGAGTCCCTGCACCCATGTGGAAGTCCCGGAGGAAGCTCCTGGCTCCTGGCTTCAGCTCAGCTTAGCTCTGGCTCTTGTGTGGTCATTTGGGAAGTGAACCAGTAGACTGAAGATTCTCCCTCTGTTCCTCTCTGCAAATATACCTCTCAAGCAATAAATAAATCTTTTAAAAAGAAGAAGAAGGCAGCCAATACAGGGTGTAACAGTGAGCAGGGTACACTGTGGACAGCCAGGGGTCAATCCTGCTGGGCACCTGGCGGGCAGTGCAGAAGACAGCGCAGGCACACTTCAGGAGGAATGCACTGAAGGGATCTTGGTCAGTGGAAGGCTGCCCCAGCCCCACCAGCCTGCTTCATGCGCTTTTTGAAGTCTTAGGGCCTGGCACAACAGAGTCATCAGGAGTGGCTCAGGAGGGCTGGCAGGGCATGGGCAGTAGCATCCACCACAGCCTGGGGTCAGAAACCAGGACTATGCAGCTCCTGAGCCATAGCGCACTGCCCCAAGGAAACCCCAGTACTGGTCCTGCAGAAGTTTGCAATCCGGAGTGTCCTTTGCAAAGCCAGGGCCTCCCACATCCCTCAGCCCCCTTGGAGCTTCTGCTCTTGTGACACACCTGTCCCCCTGGCATGGATGCTGGAGCCGTGGATATGTCGGAGTAGTGCATGCAGCTGCCCAAGTGGGCAGCTCCAGGGCTCCTGGGAAAAATAAGACCTCCTTCCACACTGCCCTCACGCTGCCCTATGCTTATCCTTTCTGAGACAACCCACTGAAAGTGCACAAGTGTTGTGGGCTAAAGAGTTGATTAGTGCTCCTTAGCCTGGGCAGGAACAGGAACTGGGCTTGTGGCTAAGAACACCTAGACTAATTGGACTCATCTGTATCCAATATCCTGCTAAATGAGGATGTAGGGGGAAGAGTATATAAGGAGAGGTGAAGGAGCAATAAAGTGAGACTTCTACTATCACTGGTCTCCTGTTGGTGCTTCATCCCCAGACACTCTCTGTGTCCACCTGACTGGCTCTGCCGGAGTACAAAAGTACTCAGGAATTGCTTATCTGTTAGAGTCTCATAGAAAACGTGTGGAGGACCCGGCGCAGTGGCTTACTCCTTGCCTTGAACGCTCCAGGATTCCATATGGGCGCCAGTTCTAATCCCAGTGGCTCCACTTCCCATCCAGCTCCCTGCTTGTGGCCTGGGAAAGCAGTTAAGGACGGCCCAAAGCCTTGGGACCCTGCACCTGTGTGTGGGAGACACGGAGGAAGCTCCTGGCTCCTGGCAGTGAATCGGCTCAGCTCCAGCCGTTGCACTCACTTGGTTAGTGAATCATCGGGCAGAAGACCTTCCTCTCCGCCTCTCCTCCTCTCTGTATATCTGACTTTGTAATAAAAATAAATAAATCTTAAAAAGAAAAAAAAGAAAAGAAAACGTGGAGACAAATAGAATCCAAAACTGGGCAAAAGGGGACAGGCAATGCGGCAAAACAGGCAAAGCCACTACTTATACTGCCAGCATCCCTCATCAGAGCATGGTCAGCATCCAGCTCCCTGCTGATGCGCTTGGGAAAACAACAGGTGCTGACCCAAGGAACTGGGTCCCTGCCAGCCTAGTGGGAGGCCCAGATGGAGTTCTGATCTCCTGGCTTCAGCCTGGTTCAGCCCTGGCCATTGTGGTCATAATAGGGAATAGAAAATCTCTCTCTCTGTCTTTCTGCCCCTTTTCTTTCAGACAAATAAAACAAATATATTTTTAAGAATATACACGTTTAGGCCCGGCGCAGTGGCGCAAGTGGTTAAGGTCCTCGCCATGCACACCCGGGATCCCATATGGGCGCCGGTTCTAGTCCCGGCAGCCCCGCTTCCCATCCAGCTCCCTGCCTGTGGCCCGGGAAAGCAGTCGAGGACGGCCCAGAGCTTTGGGACCCTGCACCCGTGTGGGAGACCCGGAAGAGGCTCCTGGCTTCGGATTGGCATAGCATCGGCTGTTGCACTCACTTGGGGAGTGAACCATCGGACGGAAGATCTTCCTCTCTGTCTCTCCTCTCTGTATATCCGCCTTTCCAATAAATAAATAAAAATAAATCTTAAAAAAAAAAAAGAATATACACGTTTATTTATTTACTTGAAAAGCAGTTACTGAAAGATACAGCACTCTTCTATCCATTGCTGCGAGCCGGGCCAGGTTGAAGCCATACACTGGAATCCCATCCAGCTGTCCGGCATGAATGCAGAGGCCCGAGCTATTGAGCCGTCGTCTGCTGCTTTCCTGAGCGCATTAGCAAGGAGCTGGATTGAAAGCGGTGCAGCCAGGATAAGCCAGTGCTCATAGGGGATGCCAGTGCTGCAGTTGGCAGTTTAATTGACTGTTCCACAATGACAGACCCCAAATAAATCTTAAACTGGGCAAAGGAGCTAAACAGAAATTTCTCCAGGGAAGGTGTACAAACGGCTCCTTGCTGAGTGTCATTGGACCTCAAACAAATGCACCGCAAAGGCCCAGGCAGTACCACTTCACACCACGAGGTGGCTCTCGGCGACAACGCGGCTGATCCGCTCGCTGCAAAAATGGCAACGGGTTTTTAAAAATCCAAACCGAGTGATCAGTTGACCTATCCCTCCCTGATGTGTGCAAGAGACATAGAAACGTAGTCGTCCAGAGAATCTGGGTTGCAGCTTTAGTCGCGGCAGCCAAAGACTACGATCCCACAGCGGTAAGATTCGGCCACGGAAATGAATGAATGAACAGTCGGCACCCTCCTGGGAATGGGTGAATCTCAGAATCACTGTGTGGAACACAAAAGGCCAGACCGAAACCCCACACAATGGGATTCCACCGATGAGCCACTCCAGAACAGGAAACTCGGGACAGAAGCCGGGGTGGGCTGCCCGCTGGGGAGGCAGACCCACTGAAACAGGCCTGGAGGACATGTGGAATGAGGGAGATGTGCCTTTTATTGTATATAACGAAGTACAGATAACATTTTTTATATATGATTGATCCCTTGTGTATCTTTTTAAGATTTATTTATTTTTATTGCAAAGTCAGATATACAGAGAGGTGGAGAGACAGAGGAAGAGCTTCCGTCTGATGATTCACTCCCCAAGTGAGCGCAACGGCCAATGCTATGCCGGTCTGAAGCCAGAATCCAGGAACTTCCCCCAGGTCTCCCACGCGGGTGCAGGGTCCCAAAGCCTTGGGCCGTCCTCGACTGCTTTCCCAGGCCACAAGCGGGGAGTTGTATGGGAAGTGATGCTGCCGGGATTAGAACTGGCGCCCAGATGGGATCCCAGTGCATTCAAGGTGAGGACTTTAGCCACTAGGCCACCGCGCCGGACCCCCAGACAGCATTTTTTTCAAATGCTGTCCCTGAGTGGCTTGAGTCTAGGCAACAAGTCCCTAGCCCCCACCTTCTTGTTCTTCCGTTCCACAGTGGAAGTGCCTCCAATGGCCCACTTCGGGGGCACCCACATGCCAGCCTCCACAGACCTGCAGAGGTCACTCTGCCAGCTACATGGCTAGGAGAGCTGAACACTGGGCAAGCGACTGGCCTATACACAAACCAGCTTCCTCGGCACTGCTTTGCAGTTTATCCCACAGCTCTGAGCATAGAATCCGGAACGCTGCCCGCTGCCCACTTGCTGAGTTAGAACAGGAATAGCATAACCAGCAACGCCCATCTGAGCATGCTCCTGCCAAGTGCCTGGAAGAAAGACACGTTCTCCTGAGCCCCAGCCTGACCCAGCAGTAACTCCCAGCACCAGCCAAGGGGTGGCAAACCACAGGAGACCACCCAGTCTCCCCTGCCGGCCCTGCTGGACAGGTGGCCGAGCAGTTCTTACTTTCACCCCGAGCCCCCCTTCCTCCTCCGGCAGCCTTGCCCCATAAGCCTTCAGCTGAGGTGTAGGGCACTCCCAAAGCCCTGGGTCAGCTCTGACTGGTTCACTGCACCCCTGCCCACCCTACACTGGGGGAGTAGGTAAATTATCTTAGCATCTCTCCAAGGCCAGCCCCAGGGAATGGAGCTCCTGCCTGGATCAGCTGACAGGAATTCCACAAACATAAGGCTCCCAGCCCAGGTCCTCTGAAGGAGAGAGAGCTTTAGACGCTTGGAGTACCATTAAGTAGATTCACCCTTACACACACACACACACACACACACACACACACACACCAACTTCTACAGTGACTTCCCCAAGCCAAACTCAACAACAGTTTCATTTATGTTTCAATTCCAGTTAAAACACATGACACGGGGCTCAGCACCATGGCTCAATGGTTAAAACCTCACTTTACGGCAACTGGTTTCGCATATGGGAGCCAGTTCATGTCCTGGCTACTTCACTTCCCATCCAGCTCCCTGCTGGTGGCCTGGGAAGGCCTTGGAGGATGGCCCATCTCCTTGGGCCCCTGCACCCATGTGGGAGACCTGAAAGAGCTCCTGGCTCATGGCTTTGTGTTGGCTCAGCTCCAACCTTCACAGTCACTTGGGGATTGAACCAGTGGATAGGAGATCTTTCTCTCTGTAAATCTTTTAATAAAAATAAATAAATCTTTTTTTAAAAAAATAACTTGAAACGTTCCAGGTGTGTCATTGGGTGGTGTTCAGTATATTCGCATTGCTGAGCGACAGAGTCTAGACTTTACCACCTGTTACCCAGCACCTCCTCCCAGCACCATCTGTTTTCTGTGTCTACGAGTTTGATGATTGCAAGTACCTCATACAAGGGGCATTACATGGTACTTTCTTTTTTTTTTTTAAAAAAAAAAAGGTTTTTTTATATTATTTACATAATTGAGAGAAATACACATCATGTGGGCCTCTGATTAGGATGGAGAGGGTTGAGGCATGGAGGAAGGTGGGTGGGACAAGTATTTCCATTACTTTCTTTTTATTCTCCTGATCTTCCTGGGGGGGGGGGCGTTGAGGAGGGGACTGCTTTCTGCTGTCAAACTACATTAACACCCAGGGATGGGGGGTGGTTCTTTGGTGATGCCTTGGAGATCCCGATATGGGGAAGAGTGTTTTGCGGCTGTTGTTACTTGAGTGGCTTTTACAGTTGTGAGACATTGTTGGCTTCATTGCACCAGGGTTGAGAAAATCTTTCCAAGGTCTATTAGCTGACCCAGTCCACTTCAGTGTCCGTCCACACACCCAGACGCTTGCTGCAAAGCTTGGCCAGGAGAGTGGTCCACCTTGTTCTGCTTTCCAACATCTGAAGAGGCAGTTGACATCTCCTGTTGGCCTAGATGAGCTGGCTGTCATGTCCCCGTGTGCATCTGGACATGCTGTGCAATGCACAGGCATCAGCAACTGAGGAGGCTCAGTCCCAATACGTGTACTTCAAAGTCAAACCACATAGATTGTGATTTTCCTTGTGGCCAGGATTTTAAGTCCAATCATTTAGTTGGGGAGTTGCCCAAGAAACCTCACCTGGGGTGACCTCAGACTTGACTCTTCTGTGCACCAGCTAGTGCAAGGTCAGGTTTGGCCCATTACATGCCCCAGCCAACACACATATGGGTGGATGCAGCTGCCTAGTCAGTTTGCCTGCAGCCCCATCTCTCACATAAATGGACAGGTACTGCAGCCTAGCCTAGCCCAGCCCACCCGCCACAAGCCAGGGCCTCGCACACATCATCAGGTGTCGTGGCCTAGTCACAGTGACCCCCAATAATCCACAGCAGGTCCACCCCAGCACTGGTTTTTGCCATCTGTCACACATCCCATCTGCTTTTCATGCACACCCACGGGTACCCACACCAGACCTGGGTACTATCATCTTGACTAGTCTAGCCCATTCCCAGCCCTGGCTTTCACACTCACTAATGGGAACTACAGTTCAGTGGAGAGTGCCCACAGTTCCCCTACCAGGCCCACTTCCAGCCCCAGATCTTGTGCCTACCAGGGGGTTTTGTGATCCATGCACTCAGTCCTGGTACCTGCCAGCTGGTGCTATGGTCTAAACCTGACTGGCCTATACCTGTTTTGGCTCTCTTTCACATCAATGGGTGCAGTAGCCTAGTTCAGCCTGGTCTGCCCCTAAACCAGCCCAAATGCCAGCTAAAGGGTGCTTTATCCCTGCCCAGGTTGGTATGGATGGTTTTTAATACTTGTATTTAAATATTTTCATTGTATTTGAAAGGCAGAGAGAGAAAAACAGAGAGACAGCGGAATATAGACTTTTCATTGGCTGGCATACTGCCCAAATGCCCACAATAGTCCAGTTGGGTCAGGTCAAAGCTAGGAGCTGAGAACCCCAACATGGATGGCTTCTGGGTTTGGGTTGGCTTAGACCTGGCCGTTGTGGCCACTCTGGGCGTGAACGGCATATAGAAGATTGATCTGAAGCCAGGATCCCAGAGCCTCTTCCCGGTTTCCCACACAGGTGCAGGGTCCCAAAGCTTTGGACCATCCTCCACTGCTTTCCTAGGCCACAGTCAGGGAGCTGGATGGGAAGTGGGGCTGCTGGGATTACAACTGGCACCCATACGGAATCCTGGAGCATGCAAGGCAAGGACTTTAGCTGCTAGGCCACCGTGTCAGGTCTGGAATCAGTTCTGCCTCCCAATTCCAGCATCCTGCTAAAGCAAACCCTGGGAGAAAGCAAGTGAGGCCCATGCAGTTGAGTTCCTGGATTGAGCTCCTGGGTGTCCCAAAATTCAGGCTGGTCCAGCCCCGGCCACTGAAGGCATTTGGGGAACGAAGCAACTGATGGAAGCTCTGTCTGTCAAGCACGCAAATATTTACTTTTTAAAGGATTATTTATTTGAGGGCCCAGAGCGGTGGCACAATGATTAAGGTCCTCGCCTTGCACACCCGGGATCCCATATGGGCGCTGGTTCTAATCCCGGCGGCCCCTCTTCCCATCCAGCTCCCTGCCTGTGGCCCGGGGAAAGCAGTCAAGGACAGCTCAAAGCTTTGGGACCCTGCACCCACGTGGGAGACCCGGAAGAGTCTCCTGGCTTTGGATCGGCATGGCATCGACCGTTGTGCTCACTTGGGGAGTGAATCATCAGACGGAAGATCTTCCTCTCTGTCTCTCTTCTCTGTATATCTGCCTTTCCAATAAAAATAAAATAAATCTTAAAAAAAAAAGATTATTTATTTGAAAGGCATAGTCACAGAAACAGGAGAGAGAGGGAAAGACAGGGAGAAGGATCTTCCATCCACTGGTTCACTCCCAAATGGCCACAACAGTTGAGGCAGGAGCTTCAGACCCAAGGCAGGAGGCAGGAGCTTCTTCTGGATCTCCCATGCGGGTTCAGGAGCCCAAGCACCTTGGCCATCTACTGCTCTCCCAGATGCATCAGCAGGGGGCTAGATGGGAAGTAAAGCAGCTAAGACTGGTACTGTTGTGCCGGATTTTGATATCCCCAGAAAATCATCGAGTCTGAAGTCGGTGCTAAGCCATAAAGGGCAGTTTATTCAGGTTAACCTAGGTCTCCCAGCCACCTCTGGCACCCATACGGGATTCCGGTGCATGCAAGGCAAGAACTTAAACTACTGCGCTACGCTATCAAACCGCACCCCCCCCCATACACACACATTTAAAACCAACCAACCAACCAACCAACCTTGAAAGTGTCCTATGAAAACATGAATGTTGAGGTTTCTTTCTTGAAAACTGGACCTGAGTAGGACACTTGGACTTCAGGACAGAATTTTTAAAATGTGTCCACAGACACATCTGCAGCCCTCAGTTTAGTGGGCTTAGGAACCCTTAGCCCGGCTCTCCGTGTATCCCTGTCCCCCCGTGGCCCTGACCCCGGTCATGAAGGGTATTTCTCCTGCTCCAGCTCATAAGTGGCGTCTGAATTAGGATCTAGTGATGGTGAGAGAAGAGGACAGTGTGGACTTCATTCTGAAAGTTCCCAGCAAAGTCACTCCACTCTCCATGTTCTCAGAACACAACACCAGGATGAGGGCGGTGGTAGCAAGGTGTACAATTAACTTGCCCTTGAGGATCGCTCTCTCCTCCGCCTTTCCTGGGTCCAAATTTGTGAACTTTACAATCGCGCTCAGCCCCCCCACCATGCGTACTAGAAAGATCATTGGTGGCTCCGTCTCTCCCTGGTGAACAGTGATGAGCTGGCTATAATGCAGAGGCTCAATTTTTACTATTCTTCCTCCAAAATACAATAAATGAAGTTATTTTCTTCCCCACCCAAAAAGAAGTGTGCCCCCCAGCCCCCAGCAAAGACCCTGGAATGGGGCATGGGGGGTAAACAGGGCCAATTCTTCTTGCTCCTGTGACTTCTCCAGGGAGAAGTGATGGGAGCTGCTGACATCGAGTCCCAGCTGCTTCACCATCATCACCATCTCTGCTGAGGCTGGCGCTCTGGGCAGGCTATCTGTCAGCAAGCGCGGATAGAGCGAGCGAGAGCGTGTGTTCTCCAGTGAGTGTTTGCAAGCCAAATATGTTCTTTTTCCTTGTGGAAACATAAAATTTATCTTCTGGGAGGCTATTTA